GTTTGTTAATAGTTTATTATTATGAAGTAGAAATGAAAAAATATTCTTATCTGTAACTTGAATGAATAAAGTTGAAATACAAAAATCGCCGTTAATATCAACCCAAAAAAATCACCAGGCTATGATGAGATGTCTGGTAAATTTCTTCTAGAATTACCTGTAATAGCTATCATTTATATTAGAAACATCTTTAACTGCATGATCAGGAATAAGATTTTCCCTTCTGTTTGAACAGTAGCGAAGGTTGTAGCAATACCTTAACCAAACAAAAATGCTTCAATTGTCAACTCTTACAAACCGATCAGCTTATTACCCATCTTATCCAAACTATTTGAAAATCTTCTTTTCTCCCGACTGGAACCAATAATACAAGAAAACAACCTATTGCCCAATCACCAATTTGGATGTCGTAAAAAGCATTCCACTATTCAGCAAATTCATTGGAAGACTAGTAAAATTGCAATGAATATAGACTCTAAAAAGATCACTGTGGGTGTGTTTTTAGACGTAGCTAAAGCATTCGATAGCGTATGGCACGAAGGATTGCTTTACAAACTATCTAGAATATTGCTTGCCGATTTTTATTTACTACTGAAGAGCTACCTTAAAGATAGATACTTCTTTGTCGCCGACGTCTAACGACGCCACTGTTTAATTATGTTGTATTATATTTTTTTATATAACAAAGTCAATGTAAAATAAATTAACTTTTGATTTTTTATTATCCAAAGTATTTATGGCATTAAGGACTTTAAACATTGACAATATGTATGTATAATCCATTCCTTTTTTGTTACTTAAATGGTATTTGCGTAATCTACAAAAACGCAAAACAAAAAATTCTTGTTTATTTTTAGCAACAAAAACAATACTATGTTTATTATCATAAATGTATTTATATATATTTTCTTTGGGTCATTCTTTCTAATAACGCTCTGAAAATTTGAGTTAAAAATCAAGCATCAAGCCCATCTACCACCATGCGCGCAGTGTAAACAACGAATTTGTTCCTGACATACACTTTGTATATTTAATACTCTTTGACATAAGTAAATACTCTGAACTTGAAATACAAAATCTACATATTCTTAAGGCCAAGTACAACACTTACTAAAAAAGTATGGATTTTACTTAAAATCTAAATTGATAATAACATATTGTTAACGGCCAAGTGTGTGTAGAAATAAAATTTCTAGAATTGAGAAGTTTTCTTATATTTAGTTTTTGCTATAAAGTATAAAAATATATTTGCTGTCTAGCACATTAAATAACACGACTACGAACATTTACGTTTACTAGCTTAATCATATGCTAATCTCATATATTTGTATTAAATTTAAATTTCGTCAGATATTACAATAATTTGGAAGAACTCAAAAATTACATACGCAGAGTCACTTACACGTTTCAAGAAAAATAACGCAAGAACAGAATTAAATTAATTGGCGGATTTGCTTACAAAATATTAGAGATGACACATAAATAAATTTAATTATTTGTATGTTGACACTTTTTTTCTTTCGTACTTTTTCAGAATGCGTGCAATTTTTTAACAAAAACACTTTTTTTTCCATTTTTTTTTATGAATCAAAGTCACAATGGAAAAAAGAAATGATAGATAAATTGAAAAAATAAGTTAAATTGTGTTTTAGGTTGTTAATTAATTTCATATTTTATGGTATGTAAGTAAATATATGGTATTTAAAATTTTAGACACTTTTAACAAAAAACTTTTTCGTAGGATCCTTAGACATTTCTAAGGTTCACCATTGTTATGGTTTTTTCTGTGAAGAAAGATGTCACTTCTTCTCCAAAACAAATATTATATTCGCGGTTGATATTGTTAAGGTCGTAGGTGACGTTGCTATTGAAATCCTACAGACCACGCCAATTAATGTTATGATCCTACCGACCTCTCATAAAATAATATTATACACCCTTTTCCAGTTTTTAACAAATCAAACACAATGACTTTATTTAACTTAGATTATATTTATTGCTACTGCTGTTGTTGCTATTGTAATTGTTGCGATAATGTTGTTGCTGTTGGTACTGTTGCTGTTGTTGTTGATACCCACGATATTGTTGTTGATAACGTTGCTGTTGTTGTTGGTTGGGTTGGCGTAACACTCATGAGAGCATGAAAAGATGCATAAGAGTAATGATAATAGAAGTAACAATAAAGCAATAAATAAAAGTAAAATAACAAAAGAGTGACAGTTCGACCATCCTGATATTAACTCGTCCTCGAGTTTCAAGTTTACTATCTGTTAATATCGTTATCTTCATCGTAGTCATCGTCGACTGTAGGAAATAATGAACACCATGGTTTCAGTTTGTCACTGCTAATGACTGTGCTATACCGGCGTTGTTTTCTTTGTTCACCCACCATGTCTCCAATGACATACCTGTCAAATCGCAGAATTTTCTTCACTTCATATGGCCCGCGATATTTAATGCCAAGTTTTCTTGATTCGCCTGTGCTTGGAAGCGTTGCTTCAATAAGCACAAGATCACCTTCTTTATACGGTTGTGGAGTTTTATATTTAGCATCGAATCTAGCTTTCCAAACCTCACGTGCAGCCTTAATGTTCTTTTTAGCATTCTCACGACGCGCGCTTAATTCGTGACCATCGATATTGATATTTTCTTCTGTTACAGCAGCCAACAGTTTATTTCCACTGATGTCTTTTAACGGAAAATCGTAAATTAGTTCAATGGGTGAATATTTTGTTGTTGAATTTATTGTTGTATTTATCTTCCATTGTAAGCAACGAAGTTTTGTGTCCCAATCTTTTGTATCTGATGACGTCTTTAAATAAGAGAGAATTGATTGATTCACACGTTCAGCAATACCATTAGCTCGTGGTGTGCGTACGGCAACTTTAATATGCTGAATATTGTTACTATTACAATAAGCTTCGAACGCTGAGGATGTAAAAGCTGTACCTCTATCAGTAACGATTTTACTGGGAAGACCAAAATACAATGTTAGTTGATTAAGTGTTTCTATTACAGGTTTGGTTTTCGTTGATTTAACAGCGACAGTTACAACATATCTAGTTAGTGCATCCACGATCACTATGATATATTCATTACCACTGCAGCTTCTAATAAAAGGTCCTAGATGGTCCATATGTATTACCTCGAACGGCACCCTCGGTATCTCCATACCATATAGTTGACATTCTTTCTTTGCTGTACTTCGATTATAACAACATTCAATGCATGATTTGATGTACCCCTTAACAAAATTTCGACATCGAGGAAACCAAAAATGTTGTTTAATACGTTTTATTGTGCCATCCATACCTGGATGACCAGCATCATCATGACAAAGTTTCACAATTCTCCATCGTATTCCTTTTGGTATGACCAGTAACTCTTTCCCATCATGATGTCTTCTATAGAGCCGATTTCCCTTTAAAATGAATTCCTTCTCATGCTGCTCTCGCTGTGTTGAATCGACACGTCCTTTTAAAATATCAATGATCTGTTGTAAATTTGCATCTTGCTGTTGCATTGTCAAAATCCAATCCTCATTCGAAATATCAATCATCATTAAATTTGCAGATACATCATCAACTTCGCATGGCGGTTCAACAGGAGCTCGACTCATTGCGTCAACGTGAGCCATTAAATTACCTGGGCGATGACTTGACGTATAATCATATTCGAGCAATTTTAACAGCCATCTTGCGACTCGTGGAATCATTGGTGTTACTGTTTTAATACTGGAAATAGCTGAACAATCCGTAAAGATTTTAAAATGTTTGCCCAAAAGATACATTCGAAAACGTTGACATGCTTCAACTACCGCTAAAACTTCTAATTCATATCCATGATATTTACTTTCAACATCTGTACATAATCGACTGAAATATGCTATGGGCTTTGATATTCCGTTATCTTCACGTTGCATTAATATCGCTGCAAGTCCAATACTGCTTGCGTCAGTATAAATTTCTTGTTCTTTATTAATGTCATATATTCCCAAAAGCGGCTCATTAGCTAACAATTCAATTAGTTTGAGGAAAGCATTTTCACATTCTAATGACCATTTAAAAGCAATATTCTTTCTCGTTAACTGTGTTAACGGATGAGCAATTTGTGCATAATTCTGAACAAATTTCCTGAAGTAACCTGTAAGTCCCAAGAAACGTCTGACTTCTGTTACATTTGTTGGTATAGGAAATTGTTTTATCGCAATGGTTTTAGTTATACCAGGTTTTATACCATTCTCGTCGACTTCATGACCTAAAAACGATACACTGCCTTTCATAAAATAACATTTCGATAGGTGTAAGGTCAATCCTTCATTACGAATAATTTTCAAAAATTCTTCTAAATTCTCAAGCCCTTCTTGTGCTGTTTCAGATGCCACAATGACTTCATCAACATAACTAACCACCTTACCTCTCAGCGGTTCCATAAGTTTCATCATCATCTTTTGAAATACGCACGGAGCATTTTTAAGGCCAAATGGCATTCGGTTAAACTCATAGTGACCATTATGAGTGACGAACGCTGTCAGCTTTTTCGATGATTCAGCAATTTCAATCTGATAATAACCTGACATCATATCTAAAGTTGTGAAAAATCTTTTCCCCGCAAGAGTTGATAGAACACCATCTACTGTAGGCATTGACCATGGCTGTTTTTCCGTTACAGCATTTAATGCCCTGTAGTCGATGCATAAACGATCTTCACCATTCGATTTCGGTACAAGAACAATAGGAGACGAATATTCTGAAGTTGATGTTCGAATAATATTTAACTCTAATAATTCGTCAACAATTCGTTCCACGACACGTTGTTTAGGAATTGGTATGTTGTAAGGTTTTTTTGTTATCGGCGTTGGAGATGTAACCGCAATCTCCATTTTCGTTGTTTTCGCCTTACCAAGTTCATTTAGATTTTCGCCAAAACAATCATAATAATTATTTAACAAATTACGCAACTCATTTTGTTCGTTTACCGATAAATTCTCGTTGCACTTAAAATTTTCGGGTGTTATCGCAAACACTTGACAGTTTCCATTTTCAAACACAACGCGACATTTGGACAATAAGTCAATACCGATAATAACGTCATATGCCATGGTATCATCTTCGACCACTAGCATTTGCACTTGTACTTTTGTTCATCAATAGTTATTGACAACTTATCTGTCTTTTCGGAACACACATATTCACCGCCGGCAAAACCGTTCAAAGTTTTCACACATTTTATTAGTTTGCATTTCAATAAAATGGCTATATTACGCTTAATTATTGACACACCACTGCCTGAATCGATCAAAGCGTTACATAAGATATTGTTTATACATATTTGTTTAATTATAATACCAGGTTTTTCAATCGCATTTACTGGATTTCGTTTATTACACGTTTTTGTGTCATGGTTTCCTGAACACATTGAACAACGCGGCTTTCGTTGCGGTTTTGGACAATTTTTCGAAATGTGCCCATTTTCCCGACAATTATAACAAACCGGTCCCGTTTTTACCACACGAGTTACACTGGAGTCACTGTTAATTTTATTCGGCATATATTGATTATCATTGTAACGTACTACTGGTCTTCGTACGCTTACATTACTGTTCTGTAACGACCGCACAAAATCTGAGCAATTTTTAAATTGCATAGCAGATAATGTTTTCCGCAACCCGTCGTCATACAACCCGATGGTTACATATCTTATGACCACTTGGTCTTCGAGTTGTCCTCGGCGTCCAATAGCTAACATTCGATAGTAGTACTCAATAACGCTTTCATTTTTTCTCTGCTGATTGCTCATTAACTGCATATGAATATCAGCAGCATTTAAAACACACGGAAAATCATTTAAGAATGCGACCACAAATTCACCCCAGCTACGAAATACTGGTTGCGAATCGATCCACAATTTTGCGGCACCTCTCAATTTACTTCTTATAGCAAATAGAACAATATGGTCATTCCACTGGTATGCATTCTTTAATTGCTCAACACTTTGAACAAACTGCACTGATGTGACGTCATCACTGTTGTTGTCGAATGACGGCAAAGCATCTATAATTTCTCTTATATTACAATAGTTACTCGCACTCTGCATTGCCATAGCAACATTCGAATTCATATTTGTTTCATACTGCATACGAGTTTGGATTGGCAACCCTATTGAATGATATCTAATAAGTGCGCGCGCTGAAAAGTTTAATGAAAAATTTAAGTTGTATCGTGAGAAACTAATGACAATTGGTTGATTACTGAAAATAAACGTTTGTGTAATTACTACGCGTTGGAATGTTGTGCAAAAATTTGATAATAATATAATTTTATTTATTGAGACTTCAGTGGACAAACTAACGTTGTATTTAACAACAGTAAAAAACCAAATATACACAAAAGTGCTTACGATCAGTGGAACTTAAAATTATATTCAGCGTTAAGCTCGATACAAAATTATAGAAAATATACTAAGTATAAAGCTCTGAGTGGTTCTTGTCTGTGCTGTCGGGTTTGTGTATCAAACCGAATTTTATGCTTTCAAAGAAAACACAAGCAGAATTTAAAAAATTAAAAAATTAACTTTTCACTTATATCATAATATTAAATAAAACATATACAAGGTGAGATGAAAAAACTGCAACCAACTTCAGACTGCTGTCATTTCTAAACCGCTCGTCCCACAGCTGTCAGATTTATTCTAGTGACAGCTCATTATATTGTTTACAAGCGCACAAAAGCATTTTGGTGGGAATTTTTCAGAAAAAAAGTTATTTGTGATGGAATTCAAGCGTGATAGTGTGATTGCTTTGCATTTGGCTGGAAAACCACAAGTGGCTATCGTTAGAGCCCTCCAGCATTTAAAAGTGAATAAATGTTTTGTGTCTCGTACCATCGCTCGTTACCATGATACTGGTAGCGTAGCCCGACGTCAAGGAAGTGGACGAAAAAAAACAGCAACATCGGCAGAAATGGTTCGAAAAGTGAAAAAGCGAATTGAACGAAATCCGCGTCGCAGTGGACGAAAAATGGCTCGTGAGCTGAACATATCGCAATATGCCATTCGGCAAATATTGAAAAATGAGCTTGGACTAAAGCCATTCAAGTTCCAAAAAGTGCAAGATCTTACTGATGCGCAAAAAAAAGTTAGACTCGAAAAAGCTAAAGAGTTGTTTCGCTTGGCCGAAAGTGGTGAACTGCCGAATTTGGTTTTCTCCGATGAGAAACCATTCGTTATCCAGCAGTTTGTAAACAAACAAAATGATCGTGTTTACTTGCCAGAGAGGTCAGCTGAAAATTTGCAACTTCGGTTGGCCATCACAACTCAAAAGCCGGCCATGGTGATGGTGTGGGCCGCCATAACAGCCGATGGTCGCTCGCCGCTCGTATTCATCGACCGTGGTGTCAAATTAAATGCGCAAATCTATCGCGAAAATATTTTGGAGGGAGTTCTGAAGCCCTGGGCACGCAAACATTTCGGCCGCAGACCTTGGACATTCCAACAGGACTCAGCACCATCGCACTCAGCACGCGCCATCCAAGAATGGTTAAGAAATGAGGTTCCTCGCTTCATTTCCACCGCACAATGGCCACCAAAATCTCCGGATGCCAATCCGTTGGACTATTGTGCCTGGGGTATTTTGGAAAGCAAG